CCGGCTCCAGAGGGGTCTCTTTGACTGTGTACCCACCCTTTCTATTCCCTGAGGCTGAGCAGCAGACAAATCGGGAGGCTCTGAGGCATGGGATGTCTTTGTCAGACCCACAGCCCCGCTGCATCCCCTCAGCTCCTTAGATACCTGGGCCTGTCTTCAATCATCCTGCAACACTACATACAGCCTTGTTCATCGCGGCCCTCCTTCCTGTGCCGGCTCTAATTTCTCTCCATATCCTTTATGATAAGCCACCTCACAGAGGGTGACTTATGGTCCCCACTCTCATCTGCCTAGCATTTAAAAGGAAAAAAGAATTAAATTGGATGGCGCACCCCGGGAGCCTGTCTGTGGCTTCAGCCTCTCTCGTTACTAGAGTCGTATCATGCTGCGTTCTAATGGCTTCCTAATGGGCGGCTTAATCTGCCATTAAACCCCTCACCCAGTATCCCTGCCAGATGCCTTGGCCAGTGGGCGGCTTCTTTGACAAGGTGACACCCCAGACCACCTGCTGGGTGGTATCCGAAGAAAAGGACATCCCAGGACTCCAAACCCAAATGTATCCAGAGGCCCACCAAGTGCTAACTGAGAGACATGTATGGGGAACCCGGCACCCATCTTATGGGTGCCTCCATCAGTCCCTCCGTTACGGACCAGAGGGGATGGAGGCCTAGAGTTCCCCATTTTCAGACTCAAGCTAAGAATGCAGAATTGGCTGTGTAACCCTGTCCCTGCTTTTAAAATGTCAGCATCTATTTTAAAGCATTGTTTTAAAAAAAAAAAAAAAAAAACCCAGTCAGGTCAAATTAAAGATGTGAACTGGCAGCTCTGGCCCCATCAGCAACTTCTAGAGAAGCCCAGAGGCTCCCCCGAGGTGCTCTCGGAGGTCTCCTCCTGCTCTGCTCTGCTCAGCGTGGATAAGAGAATAATAAATCGGCCTCTTCCTCATCCAATTAGGCAGCCACTGTATACTCCCCATGCTCACCAAAGGAGGGAGATGAGCAAGGCCATCCAGTCCTGTTTGATTCACCTCAGACCAAACCACCTCTTTGTGGCTGTCAGTCTGGGGGTTAGTGAGGACCCGAGCTCTCACCCTGCCTCGGAATGACCTCCTCTTCCCTGTGGCTTTCAAGTCATCCCTGCTCTACTCAGAGGCAAAGCTGGGGTGCCTTAGGGTTGGGTCAGGCTGGGAGCATGTTGCCATGGTAACCTACAATTCCCAGAGCTGTGCACCCTTTAGTGACTTGCTGTGTGAAGCTCCAGGGCTCCAGCTCACAGCCTGTCCTCCAGACTAGGTCACCGTCACAAGGACACATGCCTCAAGGCGTCTTTCTCAAGAGGGAATGTGGGGTGTGATCCCTACTGGGGGTATCTGCCCAAGCTAAGACACGTCCTCTCTTTGGCCTCGGTATTTTTATCTGTAAAATGGAGGTGTTCATTGTGGTGACTTGGAAACTGAGGTCTGAGGAGCTCTCACTTCCATCTGAGACAGGACCACTCTCTGGTCCGCTGCCATTAGCCAGAGCTCAGGAGGACAATCTGCCTGTCAGCTCTCTTCCCAAGACATGCATGAACCGTCTGTAGCATGATATAGGACTCCCATCCTTTTCGTGTTTTTATAGTTAGTTTAAATTTTTAATTATGTGTCTGTACATAGAAGCAGGTGGCCAGACGGCGAGAAGCATCAGATCCCCCATGGAGATGGAGTTATGGGTGGTTGTTACCCACTCAGTGTAGAGGCTAGGAATGGTCCTAGGCTAGGATGCCAGTCCTCTGCAAGAGCAGCAGGTGCTCTTAACCACTGAGCCATCTTGACATCCCAGGACCAGCACATTTTATAACTTCCTCCCTCTGTTTAGAGCGCCGTCCCCCTCTGTCTCTTCTGCTTCCTGTGAAACGTAGTTCACTGAACCTCTTCCTTCACTCCGGCCCCCTGATCCTCACCCTCCTCTGAACTCTCTCAGGCTCCCTTTGAATGTCCGCTGGCATGGTCACTGCCATTTCCCTGTGAGATGGAGCACTGTCATCATGTGGATGTGCCTTATCTCCTTGGAGACAGTGACCTCATCTTATTCTTTATTTCTACTGTAGCAGTGTGGCTTTGATATAACAGGTGTTAAGTCAATATCTGCCAAAGATCCGTTAAGTGAATAAATCAATTAGATTCCCTGAAATAACCAGGGAGATTCAGTGAGTGTTCAGTCAGAAGTTTGAGAGCTCTTAGCATTTGTGATGGATTTGGACTCAGCCAGGGGAATCTCCAGAGCTGTCAGAAATGCTAATAGACCTGTAATGCTAGTACTTGGGTTGCTGAAGCAGGGGAACCATAGGTTCCGGGCCAGTCTAGGCTACATGGTGAAAACCTATCAACAACAACAACAAACTCCTGTGTGCAGAGTGCCATTTTAGATTACATGAAATATTCTCACAAGTCTCCATTCTGTTCTCTTAGCTGTCATCTCAAGATGCCGGCCAAGGATGCTAAGAAAGTTTAGCAGATTGATGTCCCCAGGAGCTTATCAGTGCTCAGTGACAGATGCCAGACTAGAACCAAGTCACTTGCCTTCCCTGGAAGTGGAGCAGGGAGAAAAAATGATTTGTGTGCAAGCCCTTTATTTGGGAACTGGCTCCAGGAAGCCCTGCTAGGAGGCAAACAGAACAGGAAGCCAGGAAGAGTGTTAGTAAGCAAAATGCCTCTGCAAGTGACTGAGAGGTTTGTAGCCGCCAATTCTCACCCACCTGGGCTGGCAGGGCAGAGGTTGAGCGTACTCCTGTATGCAGAGAAGGCAGAGACAGAGCGGCAGGTCTGTGAGAAGCTGCTGCTGTCCATGGTAATGGTGCCTGCCACAAGATGGGGCAGGTGGCCAGTATTCTCTGTACCAGGATGGGCTGCTGAAAGGAGGAAGAGCTGGGAATCAGGGATCGGGGGCACACACATCAAGGTTCCCCCACCTTGCTTGCTCCTCTTCTCACAAGGGCCGTAGTTCAACCCTTCTCACAGAAGGCTCAGAATGTTCACACAGGTCTTCCAGTGCTCACGTTTCCCAATGCTCTGGTCTAGGTCTGGATGGAGACACGTCCTCCAGTGCATTGTGGTCAGTTCAGAACATTCCTGGTTGTTATTTCTATTGCCCCATCAGCCTCCTTGATGTGTCCTAAAACAGAGAACACTTCAAGACTGGACAGGTGACTCTGGGTTCAAAAACATCTGCTGTGCAAACCTGACCACCTGAATGGTGGTCTCTAGAACTCACACGAAAGCCTGATGCGGTGGAGTGGGTCTATAATCCCAATGCTCCTATGGCGAGATGGGGGCAGAGACAGGGGAGCCCCTGGAAGTTTGAGGGCCAGCTAGCCTGGAGTAGGCAGTACAGCAACAAACAAGAGAGACCCTGCCTCAAAAACAAAGAGAAAGTGTGGTGGTATTGTATTCCCTGAAATATTGTGCACCCTAATAAACTTATCTGGGGTCAGAGACAGAACAGCCGCAATATTAAACATAGAGGATAGGCAGTGGTAGCACACGCGTTTAATCCTAGCATTCCAGAGGCAGAAATCCATCTGTTCAAGGATACAGCCAAGCATGGTGACTCACGCCTTTAATCCCAGAAAGCAAGCCTTTAATCCCAGGGAGTGACGGCAGAAAGAGAAAGATATATAAGGCGTGAAGACCAGAAACTAGAAGCATTTGGCTGGTTAAGCTTTTAGGTTTTGAACAGCACAGTTCAGCTGAGAGCCATTCAGATATGAGGACACAGAGGCTTCCAGTCTGAGGAAACAAGATCAGATGAGAAGTTGGCCAGGTGAGGTTAGCTGTGGCTTGTTCTGTCTCTCTGATCTTCCAGTGTTCACCCCAATAATTGGCCTCAGGTTTGATCTTATTAATAAGACTCTTTAAGATTTGTAGTACAAGAAAGATAAAGACCAATATCAGAGGATGGACAGACAGACAGACAGACAGACACACACACATAGACAGACAGACAGACAGACAGACAGACACACACACACACACACACACACACACACACACACACACACACACACACACACTTTAAAACTATATTTTAAAAAGCTTCAGATATACCTAACTGCTGTGGAATAATCTTTTCGTACACTGTGAAGATGTTTCTTTGCCAAGGCGCCTCCTGATTGGTTCAATAAAGAGCTGAATGGCCAATAGCAGGGCAGGAAGAGGTTAGGCAGGACTTCCATGGAGAGAAAGAAGGGAGGACATGAATTGGGACCCCCGGGAAGATGCTAGAGGACACGAAGAGGAAAACAGGAGGTGCAAGATGGAAGAGAGGTAAGAAGCCATGAGACAAAATGTAGATGAATATAAATGGGTTAATCTTAGTTATCAGAGATAGAGGGGCAAACCTAAGCTATAGGCTGAGCTTTCATAAATAATAATAAGTCTCCATGTCATTTGTGTGTGTGTGCACGCGTGCGCGTGTGTGTGTGTGTGTGTGTGTGTGTGTGTGTGTGTGTGTGTGTGTGTGTGTGTGAGAGAGAGAGAGAGAGAGAGAGAGAGAGAGAGAGAGAGAGAGAGAGAGCTGGCAGCCCAAAGAAAAATCCATCTACACCTTACCAGCAACAGTCTGTGGAAGGAAAATTTCCATTCTAGGAGAAAGATATGGAGCCTACAGGACTAAAGAGCATTGCTTAGGGTCACTGGGGTAGTTAGTGACAGACCCACACCTGAGCATCCCCAGAATCAGAGGCCAGTTCTGTTTCATTTTTATGTTTGTTCTTATTTGAAAGGTGGGAACCCTGGCCTGTTGACCTCCCTGGTGACTACCAGAAAGGAGATTTTCCTGGTGTAAATGTTAGTGACAACTTGGTCAACAACTTGGATGATCCCCATAAGGCAGGCAGAGGCCTTCCTTGGGCATACATGGGAATGAACTCTCCCTCCCCGCAAAATGACTTCCCTGTTGTCCTTCAGAGTGAGGCCGAGGCTCTCCCCAACAATCTCTCCAGCTCACTAACTTCTGTCCTAGACTCGGCTTCCTGGGGATTCCATGTGGCCAAAGGAAGGGAAGAGAAATCTAAGTGTGAAGGTAAGAAAACTATGTCTCCACCTCTTAAGGGTTCTGCCTCAGTCTGCTAAGAAATGGACAAAGACGGGCCACCAGGAGAAAAGCACGTGTGTTTTCTGTGCTCTGAGCACCTCGAGAGGAAATGCAGAGCAGAATATCTAAACCAGAGTGTTTTCACACCAGGATTGGTGGAGAGCAGAAGGCTAGAGGAAAGGGGTAGAAGCTGGCTAGACATGGTGGAGCACACCTTGCAATCCCAGTACACAGGAGATTGAGATTGAAGCTTCCAGAGTTCAAGGCCAACCTGGAGGATGGAGTGAGACCCTGCCTCAAGATAAAGTAAAATAAACACATAAATCAATGAAGGTCATAAGCTAATATAGTAGGGAAATGAGTGTTTTGATCAGGTTGTATTGGCCCTAAGCTACTCCATGTTATATACACCGTGGTTTTTCTCACTATGCCATGTCCCCAGAGACCATTTCATAAGCAGCTTTTGACTCTATTTGGAGGATGGAGGGTGACTCTACACCTGGATGAGCACATGAACAACACTCTCTGTCAGACAACATCCCTGCAGCACAGCCTGGTAAATGATTTATTCTTGAGAGTAGAAATGGTGTCACTTTGTAAATATACCGGGGGACCTGGGAGTGCAGGGGAACAGGAGCAGATTGAAGTCATCACAAAACCCAGGCCCAAGAACTTACCAGACACACCAGACCAAGGGAAGACTGGGAATCCTTCACCTGGACAGCATAAAGAGGTGGACATCGAGCATGGGGATGGCAATGGTGATCTACCCTTTACCCAAGGGGCCAATAGGCAGAGAACTGCAGCCTATCCCAGGGGCTCCAGTTCTGCTGGTCCCCGCTCCTGATGAAGCCTACTCCACTTGCCATCTGCTCCTCTGTCTGTTCACCTATCTGGACCTGCTGTCCATCTGTCTGCCCATCTGTATAAACCCAGCCCTGCCCGTTCATCTCTGCTGCTGCGCTCAACTCCTCCACCCTGTTCCAACCTGTAGCCTGGTGGCAGCACGCAGCAGTAGCATTAGCAGCAGCAGTAGCATTAGCAGCAGCAGTAGCAGCCAGGCCTCTCTGTGTGCAGTCAGCTGCTTGATTATCTCACTCTGACAGACTCCTTTGCATTTTTTCCCACTTAGGCCTCTCTCCTCTTTAACCCTTTGTGGTCCCACTGTTACCCATGTGTATGGATGGATGGATGGATGGATGGATGGATGGATGGATGAGTGGATGGGTGGGTGGGTGTGCAGGTGGATGGATGGATGGATGGATGGATGGATGGATGGATGGATGAATGGGTGTGCAGGTGGATGGATGGATGGATGGATGGATGGATGGATGGATGGATGGATGAGTGGTTGGGTGGATGGGTGGATGGATGGATGGATGGATGGATGGATGAGTGGATGGGTGGCTGGGTGGGTGGATGGATGAATGATTGGGTGGGTGGGTGGATGGGTGAGTGGATAGGTGGATGGATGGATGGATGAGTGGTTGGTTGGTTGGGTGGGTGGGTGGGTGGGTGGATAGATGGATGGATGAGTGGTTGGGTGGGTGGATAGATGAATGGATGGATGAGTGGTTGGATGGATGGATGAGTGATTGGGTAGGTGGGTGGATGGATGGGTGGGTGGACGGATGGATGGATGCGTGGATGGATGCATGGATGGATTTACTGTCATGTGATATGTGATATGAGAATGAATATTAGTAATCAAGACTGAAATAAAAGAACCTGTGCCTGCCTCAGTCAGGGTCATCAAGGAAAGCAGGAACACTGGGAAAGCTTCTGCCAATGAAAACACCACACCTCAGAAATTCATCATTATTCAAGAAAATCTGACATTGTGAAGAGACACAAATGTGTTCATCTATGTTTCGGATGCAAAGTGCTCATGACACTGAGCAAGGCCTCTTGGGGGTCCCTGTCTTTGGGGGTAACTTTGGAGTCCCTGTCTTTGTGAATGAGGATGTCCTTTCACTTTGGGTACAGACAGGGAAGCTTTCACCTGAAGGTTGAGGACCCACCTCAGAAAAAGGCCAGAACCATCCCTGTCTCTCCTGGCCCTCAAATTCCTCCAGCTTGGGGTAGTATGTTCTAAACCTATCAAACTGCTGTATAATCTATTTCATTCAGTATTAGACTTAGTATTCAGTGTCAGAGCTTAGACTCCTAAGATTCTGTTCACGTTTCCCCCCGGGGGCCTCACACTTGTTAGGAAACTGCTCAAACACTTAGCTACAGCCCTAGTCTCCCTTTAAGACAGGTTCTCACTAAGTCACACAGACTGGCCCTGAACTCTCTCTGCAGCCCAGGTACATCTCAAACAGAACATCCTAAGGGCCTCCTAAGTATCTGGAATTATATGGCCAAGCCAACTTTTCATTCTTTTTTTTTTTTTCCTTTAGGGGGAGTTTTTTTTGTTTTTTTGTTTTTTGTTTGTTTGTTTGTTTGTTTTCAGACAGTGTCTTATGTAGCCCAGGCTAGCCTTGAACTTTCCTCGTAGCCAAAGATGATTTTGAACTTCTGAGCCTTCTGTCTTTACCTCCCTGGGATTACAGGAATGGACCACCACACCCATTGTCTGACTGTGTTAAATCAGTAGGATGAACTCCTTTGAAGCTGGTTCCCCTAAACTCCACACTGTAAACTCCACTTCATACAGACTACAGACTGCTGGGCTTCTTCAGACCATCCCTGGGGCTGCCAGATTTATACCCAGAGGCAATTTACCCCTGGGATCTCTTCTTTCTCAAAATGTCAAAACTCTCTCAAGATACCAAGATTCCCAGAGCAGAGTTTCTGTTTCAAATGGATTCTGTGGTGGTCAGAGGAACACAGGACATGGAGAGTTCTATAGACCCCTGGCTCGAGCCGATTACTGTCTGAGGAATCCTTATCCCAGAACTCGGTAAGCACAAGTCTGTCTTCCAATGCCTTTGTGAAGGAATGGAGAGCTCTAATTCCTGTCCTTTTCCTGAGGTTTCTAATCCACAGGGCTCTGCTGTGAGCGGGTAGCAGTGGGGAATGGTAGAGAATGGGGGTAGGGGAACGGGAGAGAGTTGGGGGGAACGGGAGAGAGTTGGGACAAAGGCATTCAAAAATCTCACTGGTCTGAGGCGAAGGCTTCTGGACAACAATGCCAATGGCCACCTGTGCTAGCACTCACTGTGTGATGGGAGACAAGTGCCCCGGTTCCTAGAACTCTCACACCAGCCAGTAAAACTGGGGATTGCTGCTATGCCTGCCTTAGAGATGAGGAGTCAGAGGCCTGATGCCTTCGATCTTGGATACCCAACAACAGGCAGTGGGAACCCGGCCTGAGTTCCCAGGCTTCCTCGGAGTCACTCCCTGGTCTCATATTCTAGCTCCCTGAAGGTCTGAGTTTCCTCCCTTCCTCTCTTACCTCCTTCTCCAGCTACTAGCTGTGGGCGGAGGGCAGCCTGAATATAAGTGAATATTTAGGCCTTGTAGAAGCCCAGATAGTGGGAAGTACTTGAGACAAAAATGTCCTGGATTCATGAGGCTGGGGAGGTAGCTCTGTGAGCAAAATGTCAGCCACTGAAGCTCAGCTCCCTGGCCCCCAGGTAAAAGCCAGCACGGTGTCCCACATCTATAGTATCAGTGCTGAGGAGGCAGACAGGCCGATTCCCTAGAATGTGTTGACCAGTCCAGAATTGGTAAGCTCCAGGTTCAGCAAGAGACCCTCTCTCAAAAAATAAAGAGGAAAACAATAGAAGAAAACACTTGTTATCAACTTCATCTGGCCTTCACGTGCATATATATACATGTGTAGTGGCATGCATCCATGCATGCACACAGACAAATACACTGCACAAAGAAAGTAATGTTGTCCTGGATTCAAATTCTGACTGTGACCCATGGCTGAGCCTCTAGCTCCCCGCTGGTAAATGATAAGTAGAATATGTCTAATTATAAATTCCATCTTGCTGGACCTATTAGAAGGACTCTGAGGCAGCCATGTCCCAAAGTCCTCGCCTGTGGAAGCTGGGACTGGAGAAGGTCTGGCAGCTGATGTTAATGCAGCAGGGGGAGGGTGAAGTGGATTGGGGAGGGTGGGATGGACAGGCGTCTGATACACAAAATAGTCAGCCGATGCCAATCTGTACCGTGGGAAGGAAGGGCACAGAACTTGCCTCCCAGGACCCTGTTGGGCTGGAAGGAGATGACACGCAGGAGGCCCTGAGCCTGGGGAGATGTCACATGAGGAAGGAGTCACCCTCCTGCAGTATCCACCATCCGAGAGCCAGTGGCTAACAAAACCTGAGCCTTGCCTTGGAGGGTGCCCAGCTGCAAGAGGGGGCAGGATGTAGAAAAAGGGCCCTTGAACTTCATGGAGCCACATGGAAGCACAGTGGGCTTCAGGCTGGGTCTTAGGTCATCAAATGGGGTCCTGCCTCCATTGCTCTGTGCTTGACTCTGCTGGGCCGGCGCCATCCACAGACTCTCTGTAACTTCTGAACAGGGGACCTCGGGTTCACAACTGCGCTGACATAATGTCGGTCATGTCTAGAGACCCTGTGACAACCCAGACGACTGGTACCACCCCCAGGGGTCCTGACTCTGCAGGCATGGACTGAAGCACAGAACGAATAAATGAGTAAACAGGCCCTGTGTTTAAGAGGGCACACGGCTGACTGAACGATTAGCTCTTGTGTAGTTGTGGAGTTGAAGAGATGGCTCAAAAGTTAGGAGTGTGTTCTGCTTCTGTAGAGGACCCAGGCTTGACTCTCAGCACCCATGTGAGACAGCTTCCACAGTACCTGAATTGTCATAGACATACCCACACAGACACAGACACACACACAGACATACACACACACACACACAGAGACACAGACACACACACACAGCACACATATGAACACTCAAAAATTAAATAAGTCTTTAAAAATATCTTGGGCCAGGCATACATGGTGGTACATGATTTTAATCACAGCACTTAGGAGACAGAAGCAAGTGGATTACTATGAGTTCAAGGACAGCCTGGTCTACATGGTGAGTTCCAGGCCATTCAGGGCTACACAGTGAGACCTTGTCTCTAAATAAATAAATAAATAAATAAACAAACAAACAAACCCCAAAGCCCAATTTTGTGGTTGTGGAGAGCTGAAATGTTGCAATTCTGGAGCTGAATTATTTTGGGCACTCTTTAGCTTTTTGGTGGAATGTACTACCAGATTCTTGTCTCCCACTAATCCAAAGGCCAAGCATGTCACCAGAGAGCATCTGAGGCCTATAGCAAAGATTCCCTGCTGTGCCGCAGTCCACCCACCTGATGTTCCCACCTGTGCGTTTCTAAAAGACTTGGTTTTTGACTTTCTTTGTTCTGTTACTGTAAAATTTCATGTTACCATGGCAGAACACAGTATTGGGGATACCCATACCAGTGTTCCTGGGTCATGGTCATTCACGTCTGGCTTCAGGATAAACTGTCTCTTCTTGTTTCCTTTAAGGTCAGAGCTGTGTCTCTGCCACCTGCTAAGGGTTCATAAGCATTCATTTCACCTTGATGAAGCCAGAGGTCGGAGATCATTATTAAGATGAGCTGGAAAAGCTCCAAGCATTCCACAGGACAGGGAGGGTCTAGGGTGAGTGCGCGAGTACGCACAAGTGTGTGTGTGTGTGTGTGTGTGTGTGTGTGTGTGTGTGTGTGAGAGAGAGAGAGAGAGAGAGAGAGAGAGAGAGAGAGAGAGAGAGAGAGAGAGAGAGAGAGAGAGGCGCAGGGGGGGGCAGGGGAGGGAATGCATTTGGGCGTATGCTTGTGTGTGGGGGTCTCAGATGTCACTCCTCGAATGCTGTCCACTTTGTTTTCTGAGAAAACATCTTTCATTGGTCTGGAGCTCATATAGGCTGGACTGGGTGGCCAGTGAATCCCAGGGCTCTGCCTGTCACCCGCTTTCCAGTATTTGGACTATAATTGTGCTCCACCATACCCAGCTTTCTCATGTGGGACCTGGGGATCCACACTTTACTGACTTAACTATCTCCTCAGCCCAGGGATTAGGAGGCTAGTAATCTCCACTTAGAGGCATTCTTTGCTCAGCCTGCCAGAACATGAGCAAGGGATGGAGTTTCTGTTTCTGGCTGTGTCCCAGGCTATTTGTGGGATACTGGGTGAGAGGCGCTTTCTCTCTCTGCCTCTGTGGACTGGGTGTGGCACTGCGTCCCATTATCTTTCTCATGTCTGTGAAGGAGCTGAGACAAAACACTTCACACTGGCGTTGCATTTCTTCACACTGACATCACCTGAGGCACATGGCTACAGAAAGGGCCCAGCGGCCTGTCTACCCAACGTGCAGCAAGCCACGGAGATTCCTCCCGACGGGAGGTCCTAGGAAATTGTCCGGATCACTAGCGTTGCAGGGCTGTGATGAACATGAGCAAACCATCCCTGACGCAGCTCTTCCCTCCCACAGCTCCCCATCTTCTCACCCCACGCAGCTCTAACAGCAGCCCTCCAGTCTACCATCCTGCTCTAGATAACAACTCGCCTGGCATTCCTTCCTAAGCTTTCCACTCTGGCTAACAAGCAGGGCCTCACTGTGCCTTTTTCTTCTCTTTGGACTTCACCGCCCTGTGAGAATGAGAATTTGGAACAGCTCATCTCCTTCCCTGGAGCCCCTCAGCTTGTCTGTGAAGCAGGCAGAGAGGTGTGCTCGCTCTCTCTCTCTCTCTCTCCCTCTTTCTCTTGTATAGTTTTTGGATATCTCATTGTGAAGCCCTTTTCGATAACAAATTTCACTCTAAATAATGTTATTATTTTCAATCAGGCAGACTCTCTTACCATTTCCCAAATTCTCTGTCTCCTAGGTGACCTGTGATGTGGCATACTTTGAACCCCTCTAAACAACTTCTGAAATAAACAAACATCCACGAGCCCCCTCAACAACTTAACAGCCCATGAACTGGAAGCGTCATCAACAGGAAAGAGACAGACAGGATATATTCCAAGCGAGTGGTATGGGGGACTGGGTTCCTTAAAAGAACCATCTAGAATGTGGAAAACAAGAACTGATAGACATGGACTCTACAGTAGAACCCAGAAGAATCTGAGAAAGTAGGATGTGACATGGGGGTATCTCATTATGGAGTCTTTAGAGCCACTAAGTTTCTAAACCAATCTATTCCCATGGGGGAAACTGAGGCTCCAGATGAGGGAACAGGTCAATCAAGCATATTTTGGTCATAAATGACAGAAATCATGGTCCCAAGGAAGCCTGAGGTACAGCCCAGGTAGGGGTGGAGTGGGAGGAGAGTCTGGCAGCTGTGATGACAGAACGTAGCCCACCTGTAGGCAACCCCAACCCTGCGAGCCTTCTTCCCCAAAGCGCTGCCGTAATTCATCTTTAATTTCTGCCATTGGGTCTGCAGAGCAGCTAATCATGAGCGCTAATTACTGCGACAAGGCTTCTCCCTTCTCTTTTTATGTTTCCATATTAGCCTGTTTAGTATGCTTTGTGTCTGTTTATTTTATGGCCGGAAATACTTTTAATAGCCTAGTAAATTGAAAATGGACTTCACGACCATCTGACTTCACCGGAGTTTTACAACCATTCAATTAATGGTATCAGTAATCTTCCTTCATAATTAGGCGGTTAGTAGCTTTGTCGAGCACTGCTGTTAACTAAATTAGAACTCAGTAACCACCTAATCGTATTTTGGGGGGCTCCAAATGGGAATCCAGCCAGCTTGGGGGCTGCCAGGATGGAAAGACACGATTAGCTGGCTGTAAATACCGCCTGCAAATATATGGTTTATTACGGTGATAACGGGCTTTGTAGCTCACATAAATCTGCGGGTTCCCGCTGACAGAGGAGAAATGGGCTCGCCTTGGTTGCTAGGAAATAGAGTTAGTTCCTGGGTCTCACATGCTCCATTGCCTTCTCCTGGCAGCTGATGGATTCTCTACATGAGGGGGAGCTGCCAAGAGCCACCCCACGGTGGAGGGAGAGGGCATCGAATCCGCTTCCCTCTGGAGTCCACACCCAAGTGAGTCCACTCCACATAAGCTGTGCCGGTGAACAGAGCACACAGCCATGGATAAAAGACACTGGGGACCGGAAGCTAGATGAGAGCCCGGAGAAGGCCACAGTGGATTGTGAGCGTCAGAAAACAATCCCAGTGCCTCATCTGCCCAAGATTGGCTGCCAACTGTCACACTTTGCAAGGAGACAGATTGCTGAAGTGTATGAGAACTGGTAACTGCTGCCTCTCACTCATGTGATCCTATTTCCATCTATTTACACCAATTAGCTCCCCCAGATGTATGGGATAAGGAAAACGTCACTTTTTTTAAAAAATACATAAATTTTCCTTGTTAGATATAGCTTAATAGCCCAAATATTTTTCATAATAGAAAAGCAAAAAAGACTAACTGCATAGGTAATTTATCCAATTAGATGCGTGACACTCCCCTAAATGTCCAGAGAACTGGTTCAAAACCCTGACTAATGCTCTATGCACCCCCCAAAAAAACCCACCAACTGTGTCTGCCAGCTTTCAAATCTCGTAAACTCAGGAAGTCGGTCAAAATTTGAACTTTGACTGACTTGCTTTTGGATAACAAGAAACACTGGGTAGACATTTGGGGAAGAAGCATTTTGTAGGGCAGGGAAAACCATATATGTTCTGTGGGCTGCACTGCTCTGTTGCCTTGCGTCAGGAGGTCAGTGCGACAGAAGAAAAGCTGTCTGCTATGATAGTGCCCCTGAACACTAGCTGTGTGACTCTAGGCAACTTGCGCATCCTCCGTGGATCTGGGTTTTCAGTCGTAACGTGGGATCGTCTTCCCTCAAAGAATCGTCAGGGTGATGAAAGGAAACGACAGAACAGGAAACATTTGCCCCAGGAGCATCTTTGCAGATCAAGTCCATTCCTTTCTCCTTCTCTCACTCCCTAAAATACCCAAGCAGACCCTACTCCCTTCCATCCAGCTCAGCAAAGGCCGTGTTCTCTAGAAGACTCAATGACTCCCATGCTCAAGACACTGTTGGCCCCGGGAATTTCCTAGTTCTCCATAAGGCATGTCAGGGGCTGGGGTGTCTTCTGTGATCTGCACAGAGAGTCCCCAGTGGTTCTGTGGTGGGCCTTCCCTGAAAAAAAAAAAACCTCCAGAAAGATGGCGACACTTCATGACTCCAGGAGACAGAAGAGCAGGAATCAACTCCATGACTGAGAAACTGAAGAGAAAGTGCTGTACTATGGCCAAGTGATGGTGAGCTAGCCAGTCCTCTCAGAATCAAATCGGGTGACACTGACTGACCTCTAAGGGCTGCAGAAAACCCCCCTCTACCCCTCAAGCCCTGCTTGTCTACTTTCAACTTCCCTCCCCTTATCGCTGTGTACGTGTGTATGTTTGTGTGTACTTATCTGTGTGTCTGTGTATATATGTGTATATGTGTGTAGGTACACATGCACAAAGCACATATATATGGAAGCCAGAGGATAAGCTTGGGTATTTTTCATCAGGCATCATCCAACTTGTTTTTTTGAGGCAGGGTCTTTCGTTGGCCTGGAACTCACAAAGTATGCCAGGCTGGCTGCCCAGTGAGTACCCAGGACCTATCTGTCTTCACCTCCTCACTGGTGGGGTTACAAGGACACACCACCATTTTAATGATTTTTATGTGGGCTTGAACTCAAGCCATTGCACTTGCCTTTCTAGCGCTTTACTGACTGACTGGCCTTCCCAGCTCTTTCCTTAGTTCTAGGCAGGATCTCTGTAGTCTGCCCAGTCTGGCCTTGAACTCTCGGGCTCCGACAGCCCTTCTACCTCAGCTTCTCCAGTAGCTGAGACTGCCAGTGTGTGTCACCATGCCTGGCTCGGCTCACCTGTATCATCTGGAAGAAGCTAAGGAAGACAGAAAATCAGGGAAGGCAAAGGCGGCGGGGGGGCGGGGGGAGCGGGGGGAGGAGTGCTGGGGGGGGCAGACACTGAATGAAAAGGACCTTGCAAGTCACTTGAAGGACGTCATTCTTTCTTCTAAGGCAATGGAAAGTAAAAAAGTCTAAGGTATATAAGTGGTAAGGCCGGAGCATGTATAACAACAGGGTAGAGGTGTGGAGTGGGGCAGAGTCCAGAACTCTGCTGTAGATGGAGGGCAACACCTCCAGTTGTCCTGGGTACCACGCCTGCTGCCGAGGATGGAGTGCCAGCCGGAAGTGCCCAGCAGGACCAGCCAGCTCAGGATTCTCCGAGTGCACAGCCGGTAATACCACGCTGGGTACTCAGCTGTGTCAGGCCAACTGAGGAATGAGGCTGTGCACCAGTAATTTATGTACCTGTTTGAACTCTGGGCTTGCAAATAAATTTAGTTCCTGGCCAACAGCCGAAGCACGTGTGTCGGCTGGAGGGCTGCCACGGAGGCAGGCAGAGCGGTAATTGAGAGCAGATGATATCCTGCTGGGCTGCTCTTGGAGGGAAGGAGCCACCCGCCACCCTCCCTGCTTCTCCTGCCCCACTCCAAGCCCTGGGGAGCAAGGACCAGGCCACCTAAGGGGCAGAGCTTAGCTTCCCCACTGGAGGTCTGTCTTTTTTCCAAGGTCACATTTACACTCCACGTGAACTTGAGCAAATGAATCTCTTGGAACCTCAGATTGCTCACTGTCAGATCGAACAATGCCACTACCTACACTCCAGGTCACTGCAAGGATGAACTAACCCAACATACAGTAGTGTGCTGCTTAGCACCAGGACGACGGCGACACTCTGAGAAGAGTGTTGGGGGCATAAAGTCACTGAGAAGCATCTCAGGGTATGTTCACACAGACCTAGCTGCTACAGCCTGCCCTGCCTTAGCTCTAGCATCCACATGGCGTGGCCTGTTGCTGCCTGCATCAAGATGACCCAAACAACAGGAACTTAAGCAGGCCCAGGGAAACTGAGGCAATGGAGATTCTTCCAACACAAGATGCCTGAGGCTGTATCTGGTGTAATATGGTATGGAACTGTAAAGAAAAGCTTCTTTTAGATAGATAAAAAGGAGTATATCCTAAAATGAAGAAAGTACAGTAGAGACAAAGTATGGTAATGTAGTCACTCACTGCCACGGTTAATCATGATGCCATGCTCCAAACTGCACTGCTGTTTGTCTGCATGCCTGCAGGAGTGTATTTATGTTGGGTGCATGTGCACACGCACGTGTGTGTGTGTGTGTGTGTGTGTGTGTGTGTGTGTGTGTGTGTGTGTGTGTGTGTGTGTGTATTACTTGGAGCACTTGCTCAGGTCCCACTCACTGATGAGATTCTCACTGTCACGTGACTCCTGTCACCACTGGACACTGTCCCTTCAATCATTAAGTGCTACCATGTGACCATGGGTTTGGTGCTGAAGACAGAGACAAACAACACAATCTGGCTTCCTCAGAATCTCTCTCATAGCTGAGGTTTTAAAAGATTCATTTTATTTTATACATATGAGTGCTTTGTCTGAATGTATGTCCTTATACCACATGTGTGCAGTGCCCACAGAGGCCAGAAGAGGATGTTAGATCACTTGGCCATACGGGTGCTGGGAATCGAACTAGGGTCCTCTGGAAAAGCAGCCAGTGCCCTTAACTGAGGAGTCATCTCTCCAGCCTGTTTAAAATTGCATTTTAAACAAGAAGTTTAAAGAATTTAACCCCCCCAAATTGAGGAGAAACTTGACAATTTCTTGCATTTCGGTAAAGCCAAGGAGTGCATAGTCTAAGCACCTCCCCAGAGAAAGTGTGGCTAAAATTCCTTCCCTGGGGACATATGAACATCTGCCCCCTCCTCTATGTGCCAGTGACAAACCAAAGATCAATTCCACCACAGTGCGCCCTGGGGAACCAATGTGTTTTTTTTTGGCTTTCCTTACGAGCAAGGGTCAAAGGTTACTGATGTGGATGCTCCTATAGCGCAGGAGGGTCTGTCTGTATCTGCCTGGATGATAACCTGACCCTGGCGGTGCATACAGACCCTTCCCAGGTCGTCTCCCATGTGCTCTAGCCATGCGCCAAAACCCCAAACCACAATAGGGTCAAACTACATACAGACGGCTGGAAGGAGTGACCAGATCCTCAGGCGAGGATCCAACGACTCTCCTAGGAGGGAATGTCAGCAGTCCACAGGTCCAGCTGTGACAGTTGATATCAAGAAGGCACAGCTGACCTCAGGAGCACGAGAGGCTGGCCTGCAGAGTGAGGGAATCACTGCTGTGACTCTGAGCCTCGGGAGTTTCCACTTAGTCTTCCAAAGGCCCGATGAAGAACTATTTTTACCACCCACATTTTATCAAATGATGTGTGTGTGTGTGTGTGTGTGTGTGTGTGTGTGTGTGTGTGTGTGTGTGTGTCTTCTTAATGATTCCACCAACTGGGTAATACTGGAATTTCCATATGATCACCCCACTCCTGGGACACAGTGCCCAAGCCATGGTGGGGTCTGTTGTCTCCAGGTATCACGTGGTGGTGGGAAGCAAGTAGCAGCTGGCATAAACTGCAGCGAGACTAATTAAAGCAGGGACTTCGGAGAACAGGGACTAAGATGGATGGGTGAGGGTCAGCAGGGGACATGCTGACACTCTCCATAAGTTTAATGTGTTCTGTCTGGAAGCAAGAATTCAATTAAACCATTCCTCAAGGTGCCATACTGACTTCAAGCCTGCTGGACACTGGCCATTCTGCTTTGCCGAGGCCTGGAGTTCCAGTGTGTTACTTGCTACCTTTGTCTCGCCCTGGACACCACACAATGCAAGGACATCTGTAGGCCAAGGCCCTCAGGAATGAAAGGTCCCACGGACAGCTCTGAGCCCCGAGAAAGCTTCAACACACGGCCCGTTAACTAGCCTTACAGCTAAGCAAAATGGGGAAGCATCAGACGCTGGTACCTGCAGGTGGCTGCAACCAGGGTCAATGGCACCTGGGGGGCAGCTGGGGGTGCCGTGAAAGGGATGCAGGTGGGTGTGGTTGTCCCAAGGACCAGGAGGCTCCCCGGCAGGGCGAGCCAGGACTGCTAAGCATCCTGCTATGTACGTGACAAATTTTCTTGGTATCCTAATTTGGTTTCTCCTGCTATGATAAACACCATGATCCAAAGCAACTTAGGGGAGGAGAGGTTTATCTGGCTTACAAGCTATAGTCCATCACTGAGGGACACTGTCCTGCCTAGTGATTGTTTTTTTCCAACATGACATAAGCTAGGTTCATCTGGGAAGAGAGAACCTCAGTTGAGAGAATGCCTCCATCAGATAGGCCCGAAGGCAAGCCTCTGGGGCATTTTCTTAATTGATGATGGCTGTGGAAGGGCACAGCCCAGGCCACAGCGGGCAGCGCCACCCCTAGGCAAGGGGGGTCCCGGGTTAGATAAGAATGCATGTGGAGCAAGCCGGTCAAGCAGGTTTCTTCATGGTCTCTGCTTCACATCCTGCCTCTAGGTTCCTGCCTTGGCTTCCTCTGATGACAGACTGTAACCTGTAAGCCACATAAACTCTTGCCTCCCCAAGCTGCTTTTGGTCATGGTCTTTACCAAAGCAACAGAAACCAAACTAAGACAGAAGCCCAGGGTAGCACTGCCTGCTGTGGCCTGGGCTCTCCCACATCATCATTAATCAAGAAAATGTCCCACAGACCTGCCTACAGGCCAGTCTGATGGAGGCGATTCCTGAATCAAGGTTCCCTTTTCCCGGGTGACAAAACTACCCAGCACACTTTGTAAAGCTGGAGAACCCATGGTGGGCATCTTGAGGACACCAAACGCCTCAAAGGCATCACTTGGCCAAGGGAGGCACCAGGGCAGGAGCCCAGTTCAGATCATGGAGCTGGGGGACAGTGACATCAATCCACCTTCTCAATGGATCCACCTTCTCAACACTCCAGGACTCACTCTTCAGGTACAATGAGATCAACCTTCCCTTTAGCTTGTGTATTCCTGAGCTGGACTACCTTAGATGGACACATGCTCACACACTGGCTGGTTTAAGCAATGGGTATTATTTTCTCATAGATCTGAATGCTAGGGAGTCCAGCATCAGGGGTCTGGTTCTGATGGGGGCTGTCTTGCTGGCACACAGATAGCTACTGCATCTGCTCATGTGATCTTTGCATATGTTTTGGGGGAGTCGGGAATGGGGGGGGAATCAGGAAGGAGAGGAGAAAGAACGAGAGGTGGGACAAAGTGGGACGAACAAGGAGAAGGAGAGAGAGGGAGAAATCACTGTCAAGGGTCCATATAAGGCTCTCTGAGAGCTCCACCTACATGGCCTCACTTGACCCTAATTACCTCCCAAAGATGCTAGGTCCAAATGCTACTACCATCTGGGTTACAGTGACCATAATTCAGTCGCAACAGCCTCTGTGGGAAGTGTGCTATTTGAAACCAGTAAAAGGGCAAATTATATTACACCTTCTTCATGTGAAGTCAGGGGCTCAGGGCAACAGATGCACAACCATAGGTCTCAGCCACAAGAGTGCCAACAGGGGCAGGGAGTGCCCGCCCCTCTCTCTAGTTGGCATCATATCCCGTCAACGAGTCTTCTCAATGAACCACAAGGTTCTACATGAAGCAGCTGCATCCTCTTCCTCAAACACTTGCTTCAAGATCCAAGTTAACCCTTAGGGTGCCTGCCCGGTTTCATCAGGCTTCTTCAGTTCTCCAACAGTGCGACCTCTGCTCAATTACTTCAACAAGATTCCAAACTAATGAGCATGTGACACTGGAAAACCCAGAGGTGCTCTTGGCTTTATGCACATCTGGATAACGCTGTCTCAACACCATCCACAGGTGGGGGGCCCTCTCCGCCTCTCTTTCCTCTGCTGTGGTTGCGTTCACACTGGCTTCCTTCTCCAGGCAAGATGGCTGCTGCTGCTCTGGCATGGTAGGCCTTAGCCCTCA